CTCTCCTCCAGTCCCTCTGTTCTCTGTAACCTCTAAGATCCCTCTAGAAGACAAGTCTGGCCAGGACATGTTCCTCCCATGGCTCTCCAATGCCTCAGGGTAGAGCCCTTGCTTCCTCCCAGGCCTGCTTCCTCTCTTAGACTTCCTGGTCAGGCCCTGCGGACACAGAGCTGCTGCTGGGACAGAGCAGGCTAATTCCTGCCTCTAGGCCTCTGTTCCTGCTGTACCCTCTGGCAGACAGGGCTTCCCCTCCCTCTCCACCTCCAGTCCCTCCACACTTTCCTATTGGTCCTTGCAGACAATCCTCCGGGAGGCCTTCCCTGTCTCCCTACCCCAGCCCAAGGTAGGTCATCTCCTCTGTGCTCCCACAGCATTTCCAGCTGACCCTTTCCTTAGGCCCAAAGGGTGCCCAACTTTTTGACGTCTGGGCCACACTGGAGGAAGAGTTGTCTTGGGTCACATGTTAAATACATTGCAACACATAATGACCTAAATAAATAAATAAATAAATAAATGAAAACAAATCTCATAATGTTTTAAGTAAATTTACAATTTTGTGGTGGGCCGCATTCATAGCCATCCTGGGCCACATGCGGTCTGCGGGCCACAAGTTAGACACCCCTGCTAGGGGATTTCAGTGGTCAAGCAATTGGGGTGAGAACCATTCCCGCCCATTGTCATCTCCTGAGTGTCCAGGTACTGCCCTCATCCAGCCTGAATAGCCCCGAACACTGCCCTGGCTCTCTGTCCATGTGCGTCTCTGGCTGTGCGTCTACCTGCTCCTGTTTCCTCCCTCACCCCCTAACTTTCTTGGCAGATCAGTCCGCTGTCTCTTTCATTTCTCTCTATTCCTTTCCTATGCTTTAGTACACTTCCACTTCCTTCCAGGAAGGATTCAGGTGGTGTCTTTGTGTTCCTCCCTCACTCAGTCACCACAGTCCCATTTCTTGCAGGCACTCTCTCCACACAGTTCATGGCCTTGGTACATGGAAAGGGGCGTTCTCACTCCTGCAGAGAAGTGATCTCCTGTCCTTCCCAAAACGTCTGACCCAGCATGGCCTGAGAGAGTTTCTACAGCACCCAGCAAGCCCCCAGCCCTTCCCCACCAAGGTCAGACCTGAAAGAGAAGAGGTGAGGGCAGGGAAGGGTACCGAAAAAAGGTCATCCTCAGCCCCATGCCACTACCTGCCAGGGGCCTCGGCACCTCTAATCCAGCCCCTTGTTGTAATGATGAGGGAAACAGAAGTATTGTGTGGCAGATCTCTTTGGTCAGTCCCATTTGTGGTCCTTCCAACTAACTGCTTCTTTCCTTGTAGAAACTTCAGCCTCACCCACAGAGTGTCTTGGGTATAGGCCCAACTTGTCCATCACTTTAGGGTCCCAAAGTGTCCGGCCTGGGCTGGAAAGGAGCCAGTGGGGAAGGGGAAACCTTGAAGCTGTGGTGCTTGCCCCTGGTGCTCCCTCTTGCAGCCCCTCTCCCCTTTACCTGACGCCTTCCTGGACCTCAGAGCTTCCCTTAGCTCAAAGTCCCAGCCAAGCCCCTGCAGTCTCTGCGCGCGTAGTCTGTGGGCTCCTGAAGGGCAGGACTGATCCCTCCGGGTTTCCCAGAGCCCACAGGTGAGCGAGTCAGGTTGTGCAGGACATGGACCCAGGGGAGGAAGTCCATGCATTCTCTTATCAGCGATGAGCATCTGTGGCCCTGCACTGCCCACCCACCTTGCTGCCCACCTCTCTCCTGCAGGGGGCTGATCCTTTACAGCCAAAGGTTTCTAAGGCCAGGCCCTGCCATGGCCACCAGCAGGGAACTGTTCTGGGTATGGCCAGCTTAGGTCTAGCCTTGGAGGTCCCAAAGCCAAGAGGATCATGAGGCCATATGAGGGCTTGGCCAGAGCCTTCCTGAGAATGGGGCAGCCCTGTTCCTACTGCGCCGCAGGGCGCAGGCTGTCGAGGGCGCCCGAGCCTTCACAGGGAGGGAGGCCCCATCCTGCTTGCCCCCACCACCCAGCGTCGGCGTTTCAGCTCCCGGCGCCCCCGCGTCCGCCAGGGCTCTGGCCCTGCGCCAGGCAGCTGGATCCATCACTGCAGTTGGCTAGAGGCGGGGCGGCGCGTCCCCTGGGGCTCCCAGGCAGCCGGCGCTGTCGGCCAGGCAGGGAGGGCGGCTGGCGAGGCTGCGGCAGGAGCCTAGGGGCGGGAGGCGGCGGTCAGAGGGGGCACCGCGTAGGGGCGGCATCTCCCGCACTAATTGGCCCTTTCCCAGACGCCTTGGCCAGTAATTGCTGCTGGGTAGGTGGGTGGAGGACGCGCGGCTGGCGGGGTATTGGAGGAGAGGAAGGGGCACTGCTTCCAGAGAGGGGAGTCAAGCTCAGCAGTAGCTGAGCCGCAGGGGCCCTCAGGCACGTTTGCGCGCTGTTCCTACGCCAGCTTTGCCCGGGGACCCTTCCTCCTCGCGGTAGCCCTGGGGAGCCGAGTAAATCGGAGTGAGGGGTAGGGTAGGGAGGGAACCACAAAGGGGTGTGTGTGCGTGTGTGGCGGGGAGCGGGGGGGGGGGGGGCGGGGGGGGGGGGGGGAAGGTGGGGCTTCACCAGGAGCCATCCAGTTCTGAGAACTACTCACTGAGAGTTGGGGCCTGGCTCGGGCTTTAGGACTCTGGGTGGCTGTAGGGGGACCCAGTACAGGCAGGAGGACAGGATGGAGACAGGACAGTAGGTAGCTCTACCCTCCCACCTCATCTAGCAGTGCCACCTGGGAAGGCTCAGACTGGAAGACTGGAGCCTTCCCTAGCTGGAACCAGAGCTGTGGGAGGCAAGAGCTAGCCCACCAGCCAGTCTGCTCCCCAGAGGTCTTCCAGGCTCGAATTTCTAGAGGAGGTCCTAGCCTCTAGGCAGTTGGCTGGTGGAAAAGATTTCTTCTCCAGACACGTGGAAAGCCTGGAGGGGAGAACTGAGAGGCCCTCAGAAGCAGGCCTGGACCAGCTTAGAGGCAGACCTCTGGACCTCCTGGTCAGGACGTCCCCTGCAGGCACTGGGGTGAATCAAGCCCAGCTGGAGCACCTTCCAAGGGGCTGAGGTCCCAGCCCTCACTCGGGCTTTCATTGATGAACGCCCATTTGGTGGCCTGTCCCCTGGTTAGAGGTAGGCAGGATACTCTGCTAACTGTACCTCACCTGAGACTGGAGCTGTCACACCTCCTCTGGGGGCCACCTTTCCTCAGGGATTGCACCAGATCAGGATGGAAGTGGCAGTGTGAAGCAGGCCTAGATCAAATTCCCACTGTGCCACCGCGAGGTCATGACCTTGAGCAAGATTTTCATGTCTCTGTCTCAGTTTCTTCTTCTGTAAAGTAGGGGTAATAAAGTCCATGGGACAGGTTTATTGTGAAGAAAGGGGCTTCTCCCCTCCTCCAGCCATCTTTTTGCTTTTAGGCTTAGATGCTGGGGTGTGAAAGATTGGGTGCTCCTTACCCATAAGTCTCTGCAGGCTCCAGTTGTCTCAGAAACTCAGGAAGCCCTAGGAACCGAGAGCCTACTCAATGTTGTAGTTTGGGACAGAAAGTCTGTGGGCTACCACATGAATGTTCATGGCGTTATTCACAGTAGCCAAAAGGTGGAAACAATACAAATATTCATCAGCAGGTGAATGGATAAACAACATGGAGTATGTATACACAATGGAATATTATTTGGCCTTAAAAAGGAATAAAATTCTGACACACGCTACAACATAGATGAACCTTGACATTACGCTAAATGAAATAAGCCAGACACAAAAGGACAAATATTGTATGATTCCACTTCTATGAGTTAAGTAGTCGAATTAGTAGGAGAGAAAGTAGAATAGTGGGTATGAGAATTTGGAGGTAAGAGAGAAGAGGGAGTGGTTGTTTAATGAATGCAGAGTTTTAGTTTGGGGTGACGAAAAAGTTCTGGAGATGGATAGTGATGTTAGTTGCACAAAAATGTGAATGTACTTAATGCTACTGAACTGGACATTTAAAATGGCTAAATTGATACATTTTATGTTAGGTATATTTTACTACCAACTGCCCTCACCCCCCCCCCCCGGGGCCAGGACAAAACAAAACAGAACAAAGCACCCATGGGACAGGCTGGAGTATGCCGGGGTCAAGTTACAGGAGAGGCCAGAGAGTGAGGAGTCCAGAGGCAGCACCAAGACCCAAAGTGATGGACAAGTGAGCATGGAGTGCGGATGTCCTGAGGGGTGCACTTGAGACAATGATGAAAAAAGCCATGTGTTCTACAGCCCAGGTGGTTTTGCTGCAGCTCCCCTTGACTGAGGGTAGCATACCGGGCTTAGACGAACACGGACCAGGCAGCACCGCTCCCTTCCTCCAGGCGCTCATATCGGACACCATCTGCTTCACCCAACCATTTTGCAGGTGAAGTTCAGGTCAAATCAATGTGTTCTTACTGAGGATCATTCCTGTGTCCAGACTTAGGAGGGGCCCTCAAGAAGATGAATATGGAAGGGGAGAAAAATTCCAAGCTATTAAACCTTCACTCCATGTAATGAATAACCTGCTCAAAGGCTCAGGCCAACGTGGAAAAGCTCAAGGTTGAGCCAGATGAATGGTAAATGACAAGCTAGGTGCAGTGATGGGGCAAGAGGCAGTCTGGGTGAACTTCCTATAAGAGTAGCTTCAAGTAGATATTGAAGGGTGGGAGGATTTGGAAAAGGGAGGGAGAGAAGGGCTTTTCCTAAGGCTGGGTAGCTGAAAACAGCGTGGCAGTGAAACAGCCTGACCTAGCATAATGGAGTCAGTGAGATATGCGGGCATCACGGGATGTCAGGCTGAAGAGGGTGCTGCAGGGCCCCAAACAACAGTCTAAGGCTCTGGCTCTAGCCTGTAAGTAGTAGGGAGCCTCTGCAGTTCTGTATTGGGGAGAGTAAGACCCTTGTCCCCAATCTGGGGGTGTCCATGGCAAGTCTCCTCAAGGCCTGGGCGAGGGACAATCTCTTAGGCTTTCTCCTGCAGAGTCACCTCTAGACTTGCCTCTGCCTCTTAGATCCTTAACATTGGTACAGCCTCATCCAAAAGGCCATTGTCTTGTCCTTCAGCTTCACTCCAACCCTGGCAGTGAAATCCAGCTGCAGATCCTTTTTCTTCTCATTGTAGTGTGGCCGGCAGGGCAGCCTCCCACCATTCGGATTTCTGGCCAGGAGGAGGAAGGAGAGAGGATTATTCATGCTCATCTTTGCCCTGCTTCCTTCTGTTCCCCTTCCCTCATTCGCCTTCCCTTTGGCAGTTGGGGTCCAAGAAGGCTTTACAGAGATGCTTAGACAGATCTTCAAGGAAGAGTAGGAAAGTGTGTGGTGAAGAGGGCCTTCCCCACAGAGGATCAGTATATGCAAAGGGTTGGGAGGTATGAAAGACCTTCCGTTTGGAGGAAGCACAAGTATAGGAAAGGTGGAAACATGGCGTGTGTGAAGAGAATGGATGTGGAGAGATGACACAAGAAAGACTGAATATTTTGGTGCTGGGGTAAGTAAGGGGTTGGGACTTTATCCTAGGAAGCCATGAAGAGTTTTAAGCAGATGAGTGACTCGGTTAGATGATATTTCGGAAAGACCCCTTGAGTGTCATAAGGAGGGTGGATAGAAAGGAGAGAGAATGTGAGATGGGAAATAAGTTATGGGGCTAGCCAAAGATCAGCTCAGATATCACCTCTGCTGGGAGGCCACCCCTGCCTACCCGGGCATGATCACACACCTCCTCTGTGCTCCCAAAGTGCTGTGTGCTCCCCCAGCACAGCTCTCACCATGTCGAGTTGTAATTCAATGTTTTTGTTAAACATTAACATGTCACTGGAGGATGGTCGTCATGTCTGCAATATCTTTGAAGTCCAGCGTCCAGTATTGGGCTGGGCAGAAAACAGAGCATTGAGAATGACTTGAATGTTTGAGTGATTAAAGACTCTGGTAATAGGACAGAGAGAGGGACACATTCTAGGGCCATTTAGGACCTGGTGCCCGGGGAAAGCTGAGGGAGAAGGGGCATCGGGTCTAGCCCTGGTCAGGAAGACTGCCCATATGTGTTGGGGGGTTGGACTCCCCCTGTGTGGGCAAAGTTGGCCCAGTATTTCATCATCTGGAGGCTCAGCACCCTCTCCTCATCTGTGGAATGTCCTAGGGGCAGAATCGGATCTGGCATTTGGGACAGGGCATAGGTGCTGACACCCCACCCTGCTCCTTCTGTTATTGTCTCTATGCTATGAGGCTTCCACTTGGGAGGATCTTCCAGATGGAGGGATCGGTCCTAATACGAAGGTGGGGAGACTAGACACCCAGTGGGGGTATCAGGTGAGGTGTCAGCACCTTCGGAGAAGGGACATCCAAAGATGAAGTGGATATCATCCCCGTGGTCTGCCCCGTCAGGGCAGGGTTTCAGGATGACGCTGGTGGGAGCAGGCACTCAAACTCATACACACAGACAGGAAGCCAGCATCTAAGAATAAGAAAACTGAGGAAGGCTGCAGGAAAAGTCTAAGCCTGGGCTTCTCATCCATCCCACGCAACCCACCCACCTGCCTCAACCCGGAGAAGAGCTTGGCCTTCAGAATCAAGAGAAAAGATTTGAATCCTGTCTGGCTCTATTCATTAGCAACATGACCTGGGGCAAGTCCTTCAGCCTCTCTGAGCTGCAATTCCTCATCTTCAGACAGCGGATGCTAATACTTACATCAAGAGAGTGTGGCAAGGATTGTGGAAACCTTCTCCTTCCCTCTTCTGGACCTTTTCTCTCTTGGCGTGGCATTTAAGGTTCTCCCCTGTCTACCTTCTCCAGCTCCACCTTTGACCTCTCACACACGTGTTTCTCAACCCCAAGTCAGCCTGGGCAGGATCTCCAGGCTGTCCCTAAGCCTCTCTTACATCTTGGAACCCTACACCAGCCCAGAGCTACACAGAGGGTGTGTGAACAGTTGGTGAGCCCAGTGGGGAAGCTGCATAAGCAGATGGGGTGTGGCCACTCTTGGGGACCCCATATACAGCGGTAGCAGCAGGCAGCCTGCAGTGTGGGATACACAAAGGTAGTGTCCCCAACCAGGTCCCTCACACAGCTTTGTAACATTGTCCAGCCATGGTCATCGATATCACTCAAGTACTCCTCCACCAACAGTGGCATTTGCTCCTCGGTGATTCTGGGTGGGGAAGCCATACTCACTCGGAGGCCTGGCTGGGCCAGAGTTGGGCACACCAATGACTTGGATCCAGGAGATTTTAGCCTGGGGAGGGGGAGAAAGAGGAAGGCTTCCTGGGAAGTTCTTCTTTGCTGATTCTTATCCCTGTGCTTTTGCTGCATGAGAACTGCCTGCCATGACCCTGAGGCCTGGGGGGTCTTGCCCACCAGCAGCCACTTGATCCCTTGCCAAACCCCAAATCCCCATCAAAAAAGATCTGTATCCTGGTTGGGAGCCCTTTGTTAAGACCCCCTAATAGGTAAGGAAAAACAGGGGGGGTTAGCCTTGTCCAACCAAACAGAGTGCCCCTAACCGTGTGGCCCTTCACCAAGATGCTGCTGGTCCTCCAGAGCAGCTTGGTGATTGTTTCTTTTCTCAACATGTGCCAGTTTAGTGGGAACTTTGTGATCTGTCCACAAGACAAGAACCCAGGTGTGGGCCAGGCCCAAGTATCAGGAGGGATTCCAGCCAGAGCTACACCAGACCCCAAGGCCCTTATCCGTTTAAATGATGAGTTTGCAGACAGAGCACACAGCCCAGGAAGGGCCCGTGACCATTTCCTGCCCTCCTGACAACCTGTCTATCACCACTAGCAAGGGAGGAGCTTGGCCTTCAGAACGGAAGAGGAAGCTGGGAAGGTTCCTCCTAAGCTGGGGCATCTACCCTGAACCCAGGAGCAAGGGAGGGCCCCAAGATTTACAGCTGCCTAGAAACTAAGCAATCAACATAGTGACTCATCCGAGCTATGATCAAAAGATTTGGGGCCCCCAAACCTCCAAGAGGCCACACTTTTCCCTCACCCTCATCTCTTCCAATCAGCTCTCTCTGCTTAGGAACTGGAAGAGATTCCCAAGCACTTGGGCATCCCCACAAGGCCAAAGGGATGTGACCTGGTACCCATCCTGCATCCTCTCCAACCCTCACTGAAGTGGATATTCCTCCTATTCACTTACAAAAGGCAAGAGCCAACTGAACTCCAGGTTATTGACACCCAGAAGGTAGGGCACAGGTGCAACCTGCCCGTGGCTCAGGAGCACCACAGGATCATCTGGGAACACCACACCACCCACCACGGGGCTCATGAACTACACGATCTATGAGGCAAGGGGGGTTTGCATCAGTTCTCCCACGTATCCTTCCAGGATCCCTGTGGCCTAGGGAAGCCAGCTCAGCAGGTCTCAGTCCAGAGACTTCTCTAGCCATGGCCCCTTAATTGGGAAAAAGCTGGGATTTGATGACCCCTGGGAGGGCGGGTGTGGGAGGACCAGCAACAGACAGGACCAAGCTACTGAGCCTTGGGATTCTCTCCCCAGGTATCTACATTTCTTGCTCCTTCACCTCTTAAAAATCTTTGCTAAATATCACCTTCTCAATGATGCTTTCTCTGTCCTTTTATTTAAAAATTCCACCCCTCCTCCCAACATGCCAAGCTCCTTGCCTGTTCCTTCATTCACTTATGACCTTCTAAAGAGGTGCTTTAGAAAATAATTTATTTATTTGAGGTGTTTATTGTTTCTCCCCATGGAAACATCAGTCCCTCTAGGGAAGAAATCTTAGCCTGAACAGTTCACTGAGAATCCTGAGTGCCTGGCACACAGTAGGTGTTCAATAAATACTCAAATTATAGAATGGGGCCTGCTCACCTCCTAAGGGTCTCCCTGGGAGCTCAGGTGGAAGAAGTTCTGTGGGGGAGAGGAGACAACTGGAATAAAAGGAAGTTTCCCCACATTCTCCTGGAACAGTGTCCCCGGGGTGGCTGGGAACCAGATTAGGAGGGTGGCTTGAAGGTAGTCAGGTCTGGGAGCTGGAAAAAAGTCCTACCTACCATCTTCCTGGGCGCACGCATTACCTCAGCCACTGATAGCGCTCTCAGGCAGCCTCTCAGCATCTTGGGTGCTGTTGTGGTTGCAGCCTGCTAAGCGGGCAACCTTTTGCAGAGAGAAGAGGTGCTTGGGGATGCCCCTATCCTGCCCTCCTTGCTGAACCCTGGGGGAGAGGGACATCCACCTTGGCCACCTTCAGAGGGTCTGGAGTGATGAAAGCTCCGAGTACTGCAGCGCCCCTCTAGGAAATGGCTCGATGGAAGAGGCCCTGGGCCAGAGGTGCCATCCTCTGCAGGAATGGGGAGGGCAGAAACTGTAAGATACACAACTGGAGACCACTTGAATAGTTTGGGGTACCTGTGTGGCCATGGCTGGGCAGCCTGAAGAGGTGCAGAGAGGACAGGCACCTGGGAGGGAGTCAGGAGTCCCAGGCCTAGAGCCGGTGCCTTCCTGCCTTTGGGCCTCCATATCCTGATTCGTGCAATGGGTCTCAGGGGCTCCAGAGGGGATCTGAGGTTGTAGACAGAGTTCTCCTGGCACAGGAAGGGGGCTCCCTCTGCTTTTGGTCTAGAAACGGCATGGGGGGACCCTATGTTTCCCACAGCTGACAGTTCTTAGCCTTTCTCCACTGGCCAGGTTAGGGAACAAGTCTATCTGGGGCGCCCCCCTCTTGTGCCTCAGATTTTATGTGCCCTAAACTTGTTCCAACCAATCCCCACCTGGTCTGCATCCCTTATCCCACGCCATCCATCCAGCTCCAGGGGCCTTCACCATCTCCTCTGCTCGTCGCTACACCCCATTTGCTCCTGTCCTGCCATTTGGCCTTCTCCATCTCTCAGTGACCATCCTCTGCTCTCCATCCATCTGCCTCTCTGTCTGTATTTCAGAACCAGTCCTCATTATCTCCCTCAGGGTATATCTCAACTCCCTCCCCCCACCCTACTTCTTTCTAATTCTGTTTCAGCAGACTGAGCCATCCCTCTAAATGTACGTCTGACTTCGTCACTTCCCTGCTTAAAATCTTTCCCTGCTTTCCAGGCATTTTGGATAAAGTTGCTTAACCTGTCTTGGCCTTACTCTCTTCATCTGTGGAATGGAGATTCCTGTGCTCTTTTTTTTTTAGAATCATATTGTAGAAAGAAAATGTGTCTCTTTTTGGATTGCTGAAGGAATTGAATGAATACATGTTTAAGGTGCTTAGAAAAGTGTCTGGCACAGAGAGTACTCAGCCATTTGTTCCTGTAAGATGTGGTCCCTGCTCACCTCCCAGCCCTGTGTCTCTCACAGAACACTAGACCTTATACCCACACTCCAGGTCAGCGGTCCCCCAGGATTCAGGGACAAAGCCCACTTTCCAACCCAGGTCTCTAACTCCCAGGCTTGGCCTGGAGTGGCCTCCGTTAAGGGAACAGAACTCTGGGGAATAGTGGGGAGATAGGAGTTGCTGGGTGATTTTTTTTGGCCCACCATGGAGCAGCATTGCCCTCTCTGGACCTGGTTCGGTTTTCTCATCAGTGTTATCCCTGAACGGAGTGGACACCTTGGCTGAGAAGAGGTGGTACCCTTGGCAGAGGTGGGCAGGTCTGGGGACTGTCATTCTGGTATACGCAAATCTGTCCGTGTCTGTAAGTTGGAGCGTGCACTGGTGGGAACACGTGGGCCTGCGTCTGTCCTGCATCTGCCCAGGCACCGCACTTACCAGGACGGAGATGCACCTGGCTTCTGATGACTTGCAGTATTAGGTCGCACAGCCTGGATCTCCGCCCAAGGCTGCTGTGGGTTCTCCTGAACCCAGGGCAGAGCTGCCACCTGGTCCAGCAGCGCCCAGTTCCCGCGGGCCTGGTTGTCGCCCGTGCTGGGTGCGCAAAGCTCAAGATCAGGGTCCGCCGCCCCAACCGTGTGGGTCCTGAGGGCTCTTTCCTTGCGGGCTCCGCCGGGCTCAGTCTCGCTCAGCCTAGATCCTCAGAGATCTGGTCTTGAGGCCACACCTCCTTACTTAGAGTTAGGCTCCGCCCCATTGAAGTGGTGCGGCACGTCCACTTCCTCCAGGAAGCATTAGGCCTCAACGCTGCTACTCACCTCACGCGGCCACGCCCACGGGCCACGCCCCTCTCCTTCCATTCTGTTACTTCCACCACCTAGGCCCTGAGCCCCTGTCCTGAGGAGGCCCCGCCCCTGATCCCCGGTGAGGATCCCGGCCCTGCCCGCCTCCGGAAGCCCAGGATGCCAGAACCACAGGCAACACTGTCTCCCGAGCGCCAACTCGGAGCCATCGTACGTGGAGGTGGAGCCCACGAGGACTGTGCCTCCTGGGAACAAGACCATCACCTGGGATAGACAGGCCGAGCCCTGAGCTCGGCGGTGGGATGGCTGTGGGGTGGGATGGCTCCTGGTTGAAGACAGGGCTCGCCGGCAGCAGAGGGTCCCCACGCGCGCATACTGGCGGGTACCCGTTCAGGTACACAGTCCTCTCTGAAGTGCAGCAACTTGATTTGTTTTCGTCTATTGAAGTACATGTTGGTGATCTGCCCCCAAGATCTCGGAAGGCACCTGCGGTCACCAAGTGAGTTTGGGCCCAGCAAGGCGGCAATAGAGCGAAAATGTTTTCTCAGTAAGGGAACAGAACCAAAGCAAAATCCAGGTAGCGTGTGTGTGTGTTTTTGTGTGTGTTCATGCTTGAGAAGCCTCCGCTAGCATTAGGTTCCAGGGACGGGACGCCTCTTGGCCTCCCCAGCATCCATTCTTCTGTGTTGAGCCTTGCGGGATGAGTCAGCCTTGGGAGAGGTTTCCTGTTCCTGTCGGATGCCCTGTTGATGCTGTCAAGCCAGAAACCTGGGTGTCTTGGACACCTCTTTGTCTTTCATGCCCCATCCTCACCTCAGTTTCTGCTCTGCCTCCCAAACAGCTCTTGAATAAGCCCCTTCCCTCCATCCACGGGCAGCTGCCCTGTGAGGGCCATCACCACCTCTGACCAGGACACTGCCCCAGCCTTGTCACCCACGCCCCCGCCCCCGCCGCCGCCCCCCCCCCTTCCAGGTCACCCACCACACTCTAGTTAGAGGGATTGACAGAAAACACAAATCTGACTATGTCAACCCCCTCCTTAAAACTTTCCCTGAGTCCCTCTGCCCTCAGGATAAAGTCCAGATTCCCCCGTACCAACCCAGGCCCTCCCTTCCATCTGGTCTTCCCAGCTAGCCTCTGCTTCAGGTACAAATGGCCCCTTGCCTCTCACCGCCACGCCCCATTGCCTCTGTCCTTTCTGCCAAATGCCTTCTCTTCTGCCCAGCAAACTCCTCAAGTATAAGGCCCAGCTCAAGTGGTGCCCCCTCTGCTGAACGCTTCCCCTCTGTGCTCCCCAAAGCTCTATCCACTGCTAACTAAAGTACTGTTTCTCTTTTCCCTAAGAGAACCAAGAACACCATTAGGAGTGCCTTCGGCATCATCTGGACCAATCGCCTCGTTATATAGATTTGGAAACTGAGGCCCAGAATGGGCCGCAGGCCTGCCTATGGTCATCCATTACTCTGTTTTCACTGAGTTTTTTAAACCATGGTCAAGAGGCAAGCATAAGTCCACCACCCGCCTTAGGGTCTGCCCACCTCCCAACCAACAGTCCTGTGGCTCTTGCATGGGGGCATAGGTGGTGGCATCTCTGATTCCTTCCCAGGGCTCTGGTGGCTCTGGGGCAGCTAATCTACGAGCACCCACAGTAGGTTTGGAAAAGGGGACTCCTAGGAAGACGTAGCTGGGTATATTCCCCATGTGTATCTGCTTCCCTTAGAGGATCCCATGTTCAGTAACCGCCAGAGGCTCTTTGGTGTTCAGAGCACCTAGGAAGAAAGGAGAAGGGTCACCTTGGCCACTGAAAGGTGGCCCATCACCTGCCATGGGCATCTGCAGCAGCTTGACACTTTCACAATTGTATATTTGCCCATTTTTTCTATGTTTCTCTCAGGATTTTTCTTTCTCATTATTTGATTTAAGATTTCAAAGCTATGTTGGTTGGTGCATAAAAGTTATGTCTGTTACATGAATTATTTCTATTTGTGTCATTTGATATCCATAAATGTCATTATTTTGATTTTTCTTTGTCTGATATTAATGTGACTATCCCTCTATATCATTGCTAACATTAGCCTGGCATATTTCTGGGAAGATAGCACACATATATACAGGGGTAGGCAAAAGTAGGTTTACAGTTGTGAGTACATGGAAGTTTATTCTTGATTAATTATTATATTATTTAATTGTATTATTTGTATTCTTCTTATTGTTATTATTTCATGTCCTTACTTATGATTATCTTCTAGGTAATGATGGCTGGTAATTTAACCTACTTTTGCCCAGCCTCGTATGCATTCTCACTCATATACACACTCACATAATACTCACATGTACACGCAAATTTATTCATACATATGTATATATGAGCACAGCTCACTTACAAAGAAACATGTAGAAATACAAGAGTTGAATGCATGCCCATATGCATATATATATACGCATATAAGTATAATTAGACATAGGTTACAATGTGTCCATATTTAGCATATATTCACATATTACACACAAAAAAACACACATACAGACTACAGGCATACCTACATGATAGCTACCTCTTGGAATAGACACAAACTAGGCCAAGTGCCCTGAGCCTTTGAGCACTTCTTCCTCTAATAGACCCTCATCCTGCCCCACTCTGTTGCCAAGCGTTGGTGAAGCCTCACATCTGTTGCCCCTTCCTGAAAAACCCTGGTTATTTCTTCCCCTCCTTCTTTATCAAAACTGAATTGTTCTGTGCCCTGGTCTCCTGAGGCTTACTCTGCAAAGTGACAGAAAGCAGATCCGATCCAAGTCTTATTAAACTTGGCTGTACATCAAAATCCTCTGGGGGAAATTATTGCAAAAATATAGATTCCTAGGCCCCACCCCACACCCTCTGAATGAGGATCTCTTGGTTGTACCAGGAAATTTTGATGCAACTGGTTATTGGAATAGCATTTGGAATTGGTGTGATAGAGCACAGCCTCATATCCACAGCTGCAAATGGCCAAAAATACCCATCTGCCCTCATTCCAGGTCTCTGCAGGTCTCACAGAAGCGATCTCTGGGCACAAAGGAGTGGCTGTAATTGTCGCCCTTTGAGGCATGGAGACAGGCCAGTGGGGGCAAGGGATCATCTCACACCTCCTCTGTGTGGACAGTTCTTCGCAGTTTGCAACGCCCTTTCACAGGGGATTCTTATTGGCTCTAGGAGGAGTTAGGAGACGACTAGAGGCTCAGAGAGGGATGGCGACCAGCTTGGGATCTTTAGGACAGAGCCAGGAAACTGAGGTCTGTCAGATTACCTGGATTTGCCCTGAATCTTGGGTCCACTCATGACTGAATAGCCAACAAATATGATTTATTGATCCTTTGTTATAGTCTAGCACTGTGCCAAACACTTTTCATGTACTACCTCACTTTATCCTCCTAAAAACCCTCTAGGGTAAAGGTTATTATCATCACTCTATACAAATGTGGAAATGGAAGCTGAACGGGATTGTATAACTTGCTCAAGTTCACGCATACTGCCTCCCGTCGGAGCTCTGCTCTAAACTGATGTTTCGCTGTCCTTCCCCCAGCATCTGGGGGCATGTAAGTGTGTGGCAGAGCAGAGCACTGTAAAGTGTAACCCCTGAACAAGAACTGCTGTGGGGTGATCTTGATCCTGGCTCTGTGCCCAGAGGCAACATGTAAACACTTTTGAAAACATTCCACCTTTTCAGTAGTCAAAAATGCTAATTAACACCAGGAATTACAATTTCCACCTAACAAAGTAAAAAATCATGGCACCCCATCCCAGCAAATATACAGTGAAAAGGACATTCGCATATACTGTTGGTGGAGGAAAAATTGATACATCGCCTTGGGAAAATAATTTGATAAAATGTATAAGAGCCATAAAATGTTCACACGCTTTGTCTCAATAATTCCACTTCCAGATTCCTCCCTTATGAAAATAATCAGAAATATATTAAAACAAAGACCTTTATGAATCATAGTCATTTATACTACAATGGGTACTGAAAGCATCAGTTATATCTGGAGACCAGGCAAAGTAAATATAACTATAAACTCAAGTTATAAACTGCTTATGATAAGATTTTAAGTGAAAAAAAAAAGAATAAAATTTGAATGCATGCCAATATCACAGCTATGTACAAATATACAATAAAAATACTAAAAGAAGATGCTAAAAGTGGTTCTAGCAAAGTTTCCCTAAAAAATTTGGATATATTTATGTAGTCAAAACTAACTTATGGTAGAAGTCAGAATAGTGGCTACTTTGAGGGTATTGACAGGGAAGGGGGCATGCTGGTCCTGGAAATGTTCTAGATCTTGATCTGGTTGGTGGTTACATGATATATATTTGTATACATATATAGTGTGTGTGTGTGTCTAATATACACACAAGTGTATATGTATATACACTTGTATATACACTGTGTGTGTATATATATACACTGTCCAATATATACACTGTCCAATATACACTGTGTATATATATATATAATGTATCTATATATACACTTGTCTGTTGTATATATATACACATACTAATATATATACTGATATACTACTAATTTAATAAATATTAATTTTTTAAGTAATATAAATATAAAATGAATTACCAACAAAATTATATAAATTATGAAATATATTTTATAAAAAGTATAAATATAAACACTCAGATTCCCAGCTGGTGGGCAGATTAGTGCCCTGAAACGGCCCCTGCATCTGCCCAAAACTTGTCTAAATGCCCCTGCCCCACTGCCCCCAGAAGAGGTTAAACTGGAGGTCTGTCCCTGTGTCCCTCATGTCCCTTTTGCCCAACACCTCCGGAAGGGGTGGAGGACTTACCCAGGACTGTCTGCACCATCAGGCAGAGGGCAAGGGTCAGGCACAGAATCCAACTCATGCTCCAGCTGGCTGGCTCCCGCCACGGGCTGGGTGGATGTCCACACTGCGGATTTCAGATGGTAGCTGTGTGTGCAGTGTGTGAGCGCTGGACAGCCCATGTTCATCTTCCCTTATTCCCTGCCAGCAGGTGCTGGGGTGGGAGGAATTTTCACCAGCCCTCTGGCCCAGAGCCTTGTCTCTGCTTTGGAGTGACAGGTCGTGATAGATCGTCTTGGCTTTTAAAAAATAAACCATTAAAAAATGCAACTCCTGCCCAGTTTACTCATTTGTGCACTGGGTTTAAAGCTGAGCAGATGTGAGGCAAGCTGTGAGCACACAGAAGGCGCTGAGGTTGGAGCAGGAGCCCTGGGCACTTGGCCCCTCAGCACCCAGGTTCCCTCCCTGCGGATTTAAGGGCCGCAGGCCTCCTGGCTCTGTGTTGCTCTGTCCGGTCTCTTCTGCAGGCCTCCCCCGACCCTTCCTCACACGTCCTCACCCTCACAGCCGGAATCGTCATGGAGCAGCAGGCTCTGTGCTACGTGCAAGAGGTTCTGGGGAGCCGTTCCTACACGATCGCTGCCCTCGCAGGCTCAAAGTCCAATGGGGCACCTGGACTTGGAAGCAGCCATGCAGTGCGAACCCCTGGGTGAGCCCAGAGCTGAGTGGTGGTGATGTGGGACTCCTCCTCCACACTCATCTTTTAAAGCCTTGAATGGTTGAGGGGCCCGGGAATTGTGGAAATGGTTCTCATCCCTTTCTACAAAATTCTCATGTGCTGATGTGGCTTGGGAGTTTTCATGTCCACTGTACCCTGGGGGCTTGGTTGACACATCAGTGCCCCCTCCTGTTACACCCTTGCTGCTAGCAAAGTAGGTGCTTTCATCCTCCAATGGCAGGTGTGTCTTTCCTAAGGTCATTGAACAACATGGAGAAGAGCTATAAAACTGCCCCATCCTTTCACCGAGAAATTTGGTCTGGAAACTGTCGAAAACACACAAAAAATCGCTTAAATGATGAGTGTCCTATGGTCTTATTGACAACAGCCTCACCCCAGTCCAACTGGAGGGGATGGCTAAAGAAGAAATGTTGTTGCCACAGAATATAGTATATGCTACACGGCCGGTAACAGCATGTTCCATAAGACTACAGCAGGAGGTGGCTTTGTGCGGTGGTTCTGAGCCAGGCTGCGGAGCTTCAGTCTAAACATTGCCACTACGAACTGTGTGACATAGGGAAAATCACTTCACTTTTCTGAACCTCAGTTTCTCCGCCTGTAAAGTCAGCATAATAATAGGACTTATCTCAGGGTTGTAGTGATGTTAATGTAGGTGAATCACTGAAAACAGGGAAAATCCATTGTGTCAGCTGTTGTCATCAGTACTTGTGAAAAGGCCGATGTGGTTTAATAACTTGAAAAAGGCAGAATTTGAAACTATATATTGAATATGACCAGATTAGCCACTGAAAATACATATCAAAATACTCCAAAGATGCCCAAAGTAACAGATAGGAGGGATTAATGCCAAAATAGTGTCTGTGCTTGGCTATGAATTGCAGAATCATCAGTGACTTTAATTTCTTTCTTTCTTTTTTTCCTTTAACTTTTCTGAATTTTCCCCATTTTTAATACCAACATTAATGAAAAGTTTACTATCACTTTGGAGGTTAAAGGGAAGGTTGGACCAAGAAAGTAGGGGCTACTAGAAACTCCATCTGTCCCGGACCATGTTCCTATCTCTGGACCACATTTCCCTCCTTCTTATCTAACTCTGCTGGCCTTCTCTGTGGGTTGTGAGTGGCCACATCAATAGGAGTATAGAGTTCAGGCTGGGGGAGGTGATAGAGCTGCTTGTTTCTGTTGCCCAGTCTCTGACAAGTTTGGTTTATCTGTATGCACGAAGCATGCCACTTAAAAGCAAGGGTCAAGTGGAGCAGGGCTGGAAGACAAAGAAAGAGGGTGATGGAGAAGGCCGTCATGACCATGAGTCCACTTGCCAGGTCTGGGGGCCAGTCACATGTAGCAACTTGTCCAGTTTTGTGTGGGCCATAAAGACTGGCTCTGTCAATAGCTGGTTCCACTCCAGCCACCTCTCCCTGGAAAAAAAAAAACCCAAACCTTTCACCTGGCCCCTATGGGAAACAGTTGCGCCAGGTCAAGAACGTCAGTGGAGTGCCTGGAACTCGTGTAGGCCCCATCCAATGCTCACATGGGGCACAGGGGATGTTGAATGGATAGCCAGATCAGCCAGGTCAGCCCTGACGCAACATTCTTAGGGATAAGAAGATGAGTCACCTTCCATCCTGTTATGGGGGTAGACAAATGCCCCATCTAGTCCACTGCTGGGCTTCTGACAAGTCGGGTAGGGTGTCCTTAGAGACCAGATTGCACGGTGAGGCCAAAGTCCTGGACAGAGGAGCCTGTGCTTAGAGCTGGACTAGCAGGTGGGCCTGGGGTGAAGGCAGAGGAAAGGCTCTGGCCCCACCAGGGTTATGACTTGACCTCCCACCGCAGGGGGGCAGTAAAGGATACTGAGAGGGTGGAAGAATCACTGAGCTGAGATCCTGGGCCCAGCAGCCTGGCTGTGAGAAGACTCCCACCAGAGTACATCAATATGGGAGAAGTACTCCTCTCCATTCCAAACAGCGTCCAAGGTAGCAGCTGCAGACCCAGGGAGAGTGTGTGTGTGTCAGGATGTCACCACCAAGGAACCTTCTGGAGCTTCAGGCTAGTAGGGATTTAAGATGACTAGGACGGAGGGGGCCTAGAGACCAGTGCCTGGAGGTAGGGGAGGTGGTGATGGGAGAACATAGCCGAGGCCAAGCCCGGGGTGGCGGATGCAGACAGGATGCCCTGGGAAGGGCTTGGCCAGTGTGCCCGTGCCATCCACAGGTGGCTGCCCAAGAAAGCACAGCTTAAGCTCAGCTGTGCACTTGATAATTCCCAGGACCCCTATATGCCCCGGAGGCTCCCAAACAAAGGAAGTCGAAAACTTATTCTCTGGAAACGACAAAACATTGTTGTAAGAAATTAAAGTAGGTCTAAATGAATAGGAAAATATCCCATGTTCATGAATGAAAGGACTTAATATTATTAAGATGGTACTACTTCCCAAATTGATCTACAGATTCAATGCCATCCCCACAAGAATGTCAGCTAACTTCTCATTGACAGAACCAATCTTGAAATAGCCAAAACCAATCTTGAACAAAAATAAAGTAGGAGGATTCAGTTCCCTATCTCAAAACTTATTACAAAGAAATGGTCTTCAAAAAAGGGTCGTACTGGTATAAGACAGACATATACATCAACAGAATAGAATTGAAAGTCCACAGATAAGCCCATGTGTCCATGATCAACTGATTTCGACAGGGTGCCAAGACCACTCAGTGGGGGAAAGAATAATGATCTTTTCCACAAGTAGTGTTGGGACAACTGGGCAGCCACACGCAAAAGTGTGAAGAAAATGAAGACAGTCCACAGAACGGGAGAAAATATTTGCAAATCATTTATCTGTTAAGGGGCTTATATCCAGAATATATAAAGAACTCTTACAACTCAACAACAAAAAGACAACTCAATTCAAAAATGGGCAAAGGATCTGAGTAGATATTTCTGCAAGGAATAGGTTAAAAAGGCCAATAAACACACAGAAAGATGTTCAACATAATTAGCCACTGGGAAAATTAGATACTAAACCAAACTAAATTAGATACCACTTCACACCTCCTAGGGTGACTAGAATTAAAAAGTCAGATAATAAATATCGCTGAGACAGTGGCGAAATCTAAATCTTCATAGACTCCTGGTGGGCAAGTAAAGTGGTGTAGCCAGAGGTGAAAGGCTGGGAATCAGAAAGTAATACCTACTTCAAGTGTAACCATCTTTGGTCACCATATAATCAAGCAATGGTGACTTCGGAAGAAAGAAGAGAAAGGAATGTCTAAGAGATCTGCTGCCTGAGGGGTGCTCAGGGAGTGTCTCTGGGGGCTGAGGGTCATATCCAAGTTGTTATCACATCTACAGCTGAGCTGAGGCTGCTCTTTACTGAGCTGTGAATGCAGAGGTGGCCGGGCACATTGGCAGAGCCCCACACGGGCGCTCCTGTGTGCCCCCTGTGTGTAGGAGGTCGGGCTCAGAACCCTGCTCTCTGCCTTCACCCCGGGCCTAGCTGCTGAGCCTGCTGTGAACACAGGCTCCTTCTCTCTCCAGAACCTTGGCCTCACCAGCCCATCTGACCTCTAAGGACACCCCTCCCCACTTGTCAGACATGTCCTTGTATGGAGGACAGGCCATCCTCCTCCTTCCCTGTGTGGAGGAAGTCCTAGAAGCTGGAGGGGGGTCGGGGCGGGGAGAGGAAAGTTAGCAGTAGGACAGGGTGTGTGGCCACACCAGCAGGCTTGCCCACCCTCTCTAGAGCACTCTGGCGATGCTGACACCAAAGCTCATGGCTGTTTCTCACATTCCCACGGCTCTCAGGTGTGCTACACCATCAGACCTGGAGGAAGAGGCCTCTTTGTATATCCAGTGTGGTCAGAATAAGGCCTTGATTCCCAGCCCTGTCCTGCTCACCTCCAGGCAGCCCCTGGAGCATGTATCAGTACTTGTTTGTTTGTTTGTTTGTTTGTTTTATGGCTGAATAAAATTTCACTGTTTGGCTCTACCACACTTTATTTATCCATCCATTCATTGATGGCCATTTGGGTTGTTTCCACCTTTTAACTACTATGAACAATACTGCTATAAACATTTGTATATAGGTTTCTGTGTGTCCCTATATTTTCATTTCTCTTGGCTGTATACCTAGGAATTGCTGGTCATCTGGTAATTCTATGTACAATGTTTTGAAAAACTAATAAGCTCTTTTCTTTCTCTCTTTTTAGATTTTATTTATTTCCAGGGGGAGGGGAGGAGAGGGAAAAAGAGAGGAAATATCGATGTGCAAGAGATATATTGATCGGTTGCCTCTTGTACACCCCCAACTGGGGACCTGGCCTGCAACCCAGGCATGTGCCCTGACT